TGTGTTCATAATTTTGGGTTGATTTTTTTCCTTATTGAATTTTTCAACACTTCCTGTTGTTTAAATTCGATACATGCCTCTAACGAAATTTAGTTTAATTGCAATTGTTCTAACATTTTCAATCTATTCAAATTATTGCACATATCTTGTATCAATCATCTTAGTGTAATCAATTCCTGTTCAATAGACATTTCTTCTTGTCCTAAACGTTGAAATTACTAGTATCTGCTGGCGTCTCGTAGCCGGTGCAGAAATCTCATCGTGGGTTTAATGACAAAAGTACGCAGGTAGGCTTTAAGAAATCGTTATTCAACTGAGAATACAAGGTTCGCGTATAGTCTTCTTTTATAGTCCCACTAAACAGAAATAGCTCTCTCAAAGAGGTGAGTAACAAAACAAGGGGAGACCACATTTGATTATTCATAACAGTGGGTTCCTCACATTCTTGTTTTGATGGCAAGAAATTGGTTCGTTCGGCAATGACTAACCTTTTCCTTGGTCGAATATTCATTAGAATAATCTCTTTGATTTAGTTAAATATCAATTCTTCCATCTCTTTTGGATGTCATCAACGTAATCTTCCTAATAGCTTCACAATCGACTATTGCCAGGAATAAGTCTGTGATTTCGTTTTCACTTCCATTTATTTTGTTGTCTCGTAGTTTCTTTGTTTTAGCAACGGCTGCGAAGCATCTTATTCAAATTTCAGCAAAGGTCGTCTACATGCATCAAAGATCCTATCGGCGACGTCATATTGTTATGATATTCCAAATAGGGATTGCACTTGTGTGCAGTATTGGTTCTACAGTTTAAGACTTATATCACTACCTTAAGTAACAAGCCTGTACATAATACCATCTACTCCTAGACGTATGCTAAGGATTGGTAGCACTAGCCAACTACTACCACACTAACTTAGAACACATGGCTCCCTAAGCTTTGTCCTCTCTTTCGGAGCATGAGCGTCTGTATAAGATAAAGTACCAAGAAAGCTGGTCTATTTTTGACAATAGTCCCATGTACGCATTGAACTCCTACGAGTGGGACTGCCACATTTTGGACGAAGTGGCTATCCAAATACTCTCTACTCAAAGCGAGTGATATGTGAAAAAAGTTTAGTGGTTACATCAGTCTATAGAAAGTGTCAGATAGATGTTCTGCTTTTTTTTCATGAGACGAAGATTTCTTTTTCAAGATCAACCGACTTATCAACCGTCCAATCACATAGCTATTTGTTTAATTATTTCCTAAGCATAGGTTAGTTTTGCCACAAGTATGAAACACCGAGTGAGGCTCAAACTCACTAATGATCTATGAGACAATTTTGCTAACTATATGCTGTAATTTTCAAAATCTGCTAGCACTGAACAGAATATAGTCCAATTTGCTACTTATTGTCCACTTGTCATCAGCAACTAAGACATCAGTTTGTAGTAATATTTAACATTTAATAATTAAAATGGGTGTAAAAAATTCAGATGTCAAAAAAGCTGCAAAAATGAGACTCAACATGAATGGTAGGAACAAGGAAAATCCGCCAAAAATAAGATCTAAAGCAAAATGTAAAATGTGCGCACGTAATAAAAAAACAGATCAAAATGAATAAAAAGGAAAATTCCAGCCAACCAATGTTAATTTGAGTAAAAAATAATCCTGTTTTTATCACTTAAAAACTTTGATAATTGACGTAGTTGATCACATAAAAAATAACAGTTGGTCTACAAATTTCTACACCAAGTAACACCCTTTACCCAAAGATGAAAACGTGGTACAACGGGGAAAAAAGAAGAGAAAAGAGAACAGGGGAGGAGAAAAATAGAAGGTGAGGAGGCTGATTTAAAAGGACGATTTCAAATCTCTTATCCTTCCCTCTACAATTATATAACGAAGAAAACGGCGACTTACCTCGTCAAACGAAGCGACAGCGCGTCGCGTGTATTCTGCGACAGAAAATGTGACGAAAAAGAAAATTACTTACCAAACAAGAGGGCACGTATTCCGCATGACATGCTGAAAATGGAATATTTGAATTAAAAAACAAGTCCGTCGCAAGAGTCGCTATAAAAGTATGTTGATATGCAAATTACTGAACATCCTCTCTCAGCTGTCGACGAATGGAAAAAAAAGTTCGGCGATAAAAGCAGTTGGTGTTCTCGAATTGGGGGGGGTCGGCAATTTTGGCTGCGTGCATTGTGATTTGTGAAATAGTACTTGCGAATCGAGTTTTCGGCATTTTCTTTCTGTCCCCGATGTTCGAGTCTAAACTTAGTGATTTATTCTCGGCGACGTGGAAATAATCTGCGACAAACATTTCCTTTCCAATCCCAGATTACAAATTACTAATAGAGACGCTAACGCAAAATACAAGACTCGTACATAAAGTTATTAAAAAAAACAAAAAAAACATTGCAATGACAAAATATTTTTACAACATACAAATTGTACAAAATATAATATAGGCGCAAAATGTCCCTTGTGGGCTTTAAACTATCAAGGCAGGTAAACATTTCTTTGCAATACAAATATGTTTTCTTTTAGAAGACAATAGTCCATGAAAAACATGTTTTCGTAATCAACAAGTGAATTTTAACAGATTTCCTTTAAATCAATTTCTTAGCGTCAAAAGTAATTCGAAGTAACTTCGAAAAACTCACAGATTCAAAATGTCGAAGGTACAAAGGTTGAAAGTCAAAGGGGATGATAAAAGGCTGATCTACATCGGATAAAGCTGGTTTCTTCGTCCTTTAGACAAAATATTCAGACGTTTGAATAGACGTTTTCAGATATGAGATAAACTCTTGCAGGTTTAGAAATGACGTATTTAGTAAGGAGAATTCCCGTATGGTTCTTTTCTTCCCCCTTTTTCTTATTTCTTTTTTTAAAAAACATTAATAGTAGTAGTAGAAGAAGCAGTCTTTTATTGCCCCAGGTCACATCGTTTCTCGTTTGAGTGGTAATGCTTTCGCAGTAGCAGATTTTTCCCCTCAGATCACATTTTTGCCACCCTGGTCTATTCCCTTGTGAGTTTACAGTTAAATTCCCCCTCTTATATAGCAAACAGGTGGGATCAAGACCGACTCAAAAATCCAACTCCTTAAACTTAAAGGGTGTATACTTTTTATCCCCATTGGTTAAAAATTCGAGAACCACACAGCGCCTGTTAGCAATTTAAATTTGGCTGTTTTTTTGGTTTTTTGTTGTTGTTGTTGTTTTTTTTCTTAACATCAAAGCCGGGCCTCATTTTTTTAATTTTTGCCACTGAAAGTTTAACCCGTTTGACTCCATTTTGTTGGATTTTTAAATTTTTTTTTTATAATATCTATTTTAGAGCCTATTTTCCAAATCTTTACACATTAATTTTTGTACATTTTTTTTTTTTTGAATAAATCGTCTGGCTTCATTTTGGCAGTTTTTCTTTCAAAGGAATAAATGTTAGAAACATTCTACTTTTCTTAATTAGTTTTCCATACAATTTAAGATCGTTTTTACTAAAAAATAATTTTTATAGTGGCTAAAGATCAAAAACTCGCCGATAATTGAAATTACATATCAGCTTCTCTAAGTCAATATACTTGTATTTTTCGTATTTTCCTTTAAACCGTAAGTAATGATATTCACTAAAAAAATGTATGAACTTTCTCCATATCAGACACATGCCCATTGTTTCAAACATAAAATAATAAAACCTTAAAACTAAAAAAAAACTCAGCTTATGCATATCTTTACAATCTTTTCAGCTTATGCATATCATACAAGAACTTTATTTTAAGAATTTTCAAAATATACAGTTTTAATTTTTTTCCGTAATCATTGAAAGTTTATTTATTATATGAAAGTTTATTTACTTACTTACTTGTGGCATTACAAAATGTGGTTGTCTGCCCTTGACTCAGTTATAATTTGTGCATATATCAAATGGTAAGAAAGGTGGCATGAGATGCGCAAGAGTTATGCTACACATCGTCAGTTGATGTCCATCTCCTTAGATGACTTCACGTCTACGCTAGCCTTATGGCTTAGCCACATAACTGATGCAATGTACGAAGAAAACGCTAAAATAACACCTTAATTTACTTCTCTCTTTTCATTTTTAATGTGTATGTTTCACTACCTGAACAAAATATTGTCTCATACTAGTCCTGTGTACAGGGGGCTGCAAAAGTAGATATACAGTAAGTATTATACCAGTATTACGTTTTGTTTTTCATTACTGTATACCTACTTTTGCATCCTCTGTATATGGAGATAAATCGTTTTTCTCTTAAACAATTATGCAGGTCCTTGTCTTTTATCACCCATGAGCAAAGTGCTTCAATATCACAAGGATTGTAATGCTCATATTAAAATGGTAAGGTAAATTTATCTCCACTGACCATTCCAATATTGTGACAATGACTAATTTCCTGCTGAAGTTGTTGCAAAGTTTCTTTGGTGCGAGATTGCCAGATGATGAATTAAAACAAAAACCAAATGAATTTTTATGAAAAAAAAAAACAAATTCTGAAAGGTTGAACAAGCTTATGAAGGCAACTGCAAACATAAGTTTCCCATCAGTTTATTTATAAGTATGGCATTTGAATCCAGAGTGTTTGCCTACACGGATAGTAACCAAATAAAATACTTGAAATGGATTAAACTAGACCCGAAGGAAAAATTAACACAGTGGTTCCCGTGTCTTTCAAGAGACAGATCCTGGAACTCAACTTGCCCCAATAAATAGCTGTTGAAAAAAAACCCCAGACAGGTGAGACCAATGTCAGCCACCAAAGAAATTATGCCGCTTTGAATGTTAATTCAATTTTTATGTTTTGCCAGTACCCCAGAGACAAGTAGAAAAAAAAAACTTGAAATCACTTCATATTAACTTTTATAATCTCATTTGTTTCCTCCACACAAGATTTTCATTTTCTGTCTTCAACTTTTCTAGCATTTCAGGTTTCGGTTTCTCTTACAATGATAAAATTAATTTACTTTTAAACTGGTTTCAATTTCAGATAAGCTTACGGCCATATCATGTTGAAACACACCGGTTCTCGTTCGATCATCAAAGTTAGGCATCGTCGAGTCAGGTCAATACTTGGATGGGTGACCGCTTGGGAATACCAGGTGCTGTAAGTTTGAACATGCGGGTGGTGTAATGAATAACGGTTGGCAAATGAAAAATCAGAAGGCAGTTCGAATTTCAGTCAAATTCGTTATATTCACTTACGCACAAATACCCTTGGGAAAGGTATGGATCCATTTCTTCCTCCAGCTATGCATTAAATAGTAGGACTTATATCAGTAAATCATTATTATCTCCCTCACAAAAATCTGGCTTTAAATAACCGAAAAAAGGTTGATAAACGTAAAAAAACAAATAAATCAATTTCAGATCTCACTGATTTTTGGCAATGTTCTAAATGCAGAGTGTGTTAACAATAATGAAAAAAGTTATGTTTTATGGAGATTTTTTCATAATACCTCCACCCCAAATAAATATCAATTAACAACTCGTACAACTGAAAAGAGATTCTGTCTCAATGTGAAATTGAAACAGAAAGAAATTGGTTATTTACAATCCCTACACGCAAAATGCTAGTGGCGGGCAGCCGATGACAACGCCAGCCGGTCCTTTGGTGGCACCCACCGGCGGGCCAACGGTGAGCCACTCGCGGTCTGCACGTGGTAACATTGCCGAGAGGAACATGCCGGCGGTTCGACAGCGGGTCACTAGCGATAAACGTTAGTGGCATGTCACTCAATGGCAGATTGGTGGCTTGAGAAGGAACGTTGGTGTAGGTATTGCCCAAAATATTCTTTTGAACGGTTAAAGAAATTAAACTAGACAGAGAGAAACGTTCTTAAGAAAGTTGGAATTTAGCAGAAGTTATAAATGTCTTTGATAGAGAGAGCAAGTGTCAACAAAATTCATGTAATGCTCAGACGGTCTTTTAAAGAGAGATTGTAGAGTTGTTAATTTTATGCTGACATTCGGAAATTGCAAGATTGACATAATGACAACAGCGTCCATTTGATGGATGGAAGGAGTTACAGAGTGACTAGCCTTTGTGGAATACTTTCAGAAATTGGTACTGCTTTGTAGAATTATATAAATAAAGTGAGTTGACTTCGTATTATTACGGGAAACTTGATCAGGTTGAGTGTTTCAAGCGTGTTCAATATTATTTGTTTTTAAGTTTTTGTATGTTGTCCCAGATTTCTTTCAGGATAATTGTTATCCAGGAACAGAGTGACCCCTTTTCTCAACTCACTGTAAAGGTTGCTGACTTAGACCTCTTCTTGATTATTTACGAGTAGAATCGCGAAGAGTAGTAAATAGACTGGTTGATGGGTTCTGACCGGATCAGTAAACTACTTTTCAAAATTGTTTCAGGTTCCAAATCTGTCTTTTTATTTGGCTGGAAATAATCTTGAGAAAGAATTTTCTTATGAAGTTTTTTTTTTTTCTGGGAAATCCTTATTTTTTGTCGCCACAATCAGACGCAGTAGCAAGGTTTATCAAAAAAGTTCCATCCGAGTACCTCGTTGGTTGGAAATTTCTTCGCTCTAGATAATAAAAAATGGCAAAGAACTGTTTTTGTTTCGTTTGTTTGATTGTTTTGTTGTTGGTTTTTGTTTCTCTTTAATTTCTTTTTTTTTTCTTTTTTTCACATACATTATTTTTCTCCAGGTCAAAGGTTACCTAAACATAACTTATTTGTTTTGAAGGAAACCTACTTTTCTTTGGGCTAATTTTTTTTTCTAGGAATAGTTATCATTGTTTGTGTTTCCTTGTGCAGCGTTGTCTTCTTTCACGGTTATATATTCTTTACTTTGTTTGAATAATTCTATACGAGGCTTCAATCTGTCCACAGAAAGTTAAGTATTAACGTCCTTAATCTAAATATACACCAATTTTTGGCCTTTTAAAAATGCACGCAAAGATAATTAATACAAAGATATATATTGCATGTACTGATAAAAATTAATATCTCTTAAAATAAAATATGCAATATTCAAAGAGTTCATAAGTTAATATCAGAAAGTTCTGTCTTGAACGTCTTAGGATATAATTGAGAGAGAGAAGAGAGAACTTGTAAATCTGTACGTATGCAAGTATTACTTGATAGTAGTAATTATTTCTACTCCTTGGGATTTTTATGTGTCCGAAATCTTAGGGCATGGAACAGAGGATGAAATTATTTCAGTGGCTAGTTCCTTTGCCTGGTCGTCACTATTGGTCTTTTTACTTTTTTCGAAACAATGGAAATAATTCCAGAATTGTTTCTTGATTTTTGGTTGATTCACAGATGTGAGTCATAGCCGCTTTTCTTCACCTACATTTAGGAATGATAACCTTTTGGGCTTTTTTATTTATTTCTGTATATTTTTTATCTTTTTTTTTATTTCTTTATGGCAAACCAAAATGGTTTTCCAATTTTTAGCTTTCTATTCTTTATTTTTGAAATAGTGAACTTTTGATTTTTCTATCACTACAATTCCATTAAAATATCTATCTATATCTATTGTTTTACATAATTCTTTTGTGAAATTCTAAAAATTCACTATACTATTTTATTAGCATCAATTCACTATCTTATTTTATTTGTATCAATTAACTATTTTACTAGTAACAATTAACAACTAATGAAGTAATAGATGTGTGCCTGTAACTGTGTACAATGGTGGTAAATCTTCATCTTTTCAGACGATAATAGCCATTTTAATGTTTCTTTGAGCTCTTGATTGGTTGATTCCTTTTCTACGGTTTTTTTTTTTTTTTTAACCCTTTGCAGGTTATTTAAAGCCAGAAAATATTTTTAGATTGTAAGAATTTGTTTGAAATAATAATGATTTAATGATACAAGTTTTACTAATTAACCCATAGCAGGGGGGAGAAGCGGTGGATTCATAACTTTCCCAATGGCATTTGCGTGTATGTGAATATAAAGTACCCAACTGAATTATTCCGAGCAATTATCCATTACACCACTTGGGCATCTAAGCTTTCAGTATCTGGTATTCCCAAGCGGTCACCCACATAGGTAATGACCAGGCTCAATGTTGCTTAACTTCGGTGATCGTACAGGAACCAATGATTCAATGTTATATGACCGTAAGCCATATAAGTAAGTATTATATGCAACCTATACAATCCGATTAACTTTGATAATTCAGAAGACAGTTCGCTTTTGAATTGTGTACGCCTGTTTTTTTATAACATGTACTGGAAGGTCAAGCCACGTAATGCTTTTACGAAGTCGAAAACTATATATTGAATAGTTATGTTTTGGATCTCAATGAACCCACAACAAAGAAACAGTCGAGAAAGGTTTTTAAATATAAAAAAAAAGAAAATTTTCAGTGTTTTTGCAACTAAATTTTTCTCAGCCTGTACGTGTGTTAAAGTTCCTTTTTGTAATTGTTTTCTAATATGGAAAGTAATGTGATTTCTTCGCGTGTATGTGTGAGAAAAAGTGAGGAAGAAAGTGTAAGTGTCACGCAACTTGGTGAGGAAAAGTGTAAGTGTAACGAAGCTTGGTGAGGAAGACGGGTGAATCAGTAAGGGAATCTCTTTGAAACCGCGTCGGTCGCCATGAACTACTACCATCTGTTGCCGTTCCTTTCTGTCTTACTGGTTTTTCTGACCTGGTGACTTTGCTTATAGACTCTTCAAAGGGACCACGAAGCATGTTTTTATTGTCTGCGGAAACGCGACACATTGGTTGAAAAAATATTTATTTTCAAAGGATTAATTTGTTAACCGGAAGGATACGCAAATCCCCCGACTCCATTTTTTTTTGTTATTTGATAATTAACTGCCTTGGTGTTTATTTCCTCTTCACTCTACAGTTATCTCAAATACTGGCTAGGCATCGAGCACTCTCATTGAATGATCAATGAATGTCGGGAAGTATCGATATGGGCTTATATACGGGTTATTTGAGATTTTATGCTGACAGAAGAGGATCAATTATATTAATATTAGCCATTTAAAATCTTTCGGAAGATATTTCGAAAGTCTAAAAAGGAAATTTTGCGTGTTTGTTTATTTTCGACCAATGTACATAATATATAATTATTATTATTAGTTTGTTCCTTCCTAGTCAACAATAACTAAATGTTTTTTATTGTTTCTATAGAATAGGATTCTCATTGAGTAAATGACTATACATGTGTTTGGGGGGATCGTTTTTATTTTTGCTTTATTTTTTCTTTAGGTCTATTTTCACCCAAATGGGTTTAAAAGTAGTTGTGTTAATATGGGTTAAATAGCAGAACAGACTGGGTACTATAGTGTTGGCTGGCAACCTGTCTACTGCAGAAAGAAACGGCAACCTACCGCGGGAAAATCTTCTGTTAAGTCAATCATAATAGACAGAGACATGGTCGCCCAAGCGTGTATAACGCATGGCCCTTAAGTGACTGAACCTTTCAACATTAGTTCTTGCTAGTCTCAACTACTTTACCATAACGAAAGCGAACAATGGAAAGTTTCTGACTTTTCTGTTTCACTGCTGACATGGAACGGTCAAGGCGGACGAGGAGAGAAACTTCATTTTATTTCTTCTTAAAGAAAAATATCTCTTAACAAATTTAAGTTAAAACTTTACATAAATACAGTCAAATCCATTCTAAATTGTTTGTGTCTGATGATCGGTGACTAAATCTGCTTCCCCGTCCTACTCAATATAGCACGAAGAGGATGGTTAGCTATACTACAGAACGAAAAAATACCTCATAAGAGTAAACGGACAGCTAGCTAGAGGTAGTGCTTCAATTAAGTCACCGTGGAGAAGGCAACGTGAAAACACACCACTATTCTTACTAAGATTCCAAAGACAAATTATGGCTGTATACAAAAAAATATTACAGAAAACGGTATGAACGCGACAGTTCCCTTGTGGTTGACGCCTGTAAGTAGAGGCATACATAGCATGTGTCACCTGACTGCCATCCACTTAATGTTTATAACAAGGACAAAAATGTAATTGGGACGTGGAATACAAAGATACTGTATCAATGTGGAGAACTAGAAAATGTGAAACTAGAAATGGAAATTCTGGGGTATGTGGAATTAGGTGGTTAAATAATAGAAACGCCATAAGCGACGAACGCAGGATCATATATGTAGGCGGAGAGAAAAATGAAAGAGGAGTAAGACTAATACTAGACCAAGTCATGAAGAAATTTTCCGGGATACTATCAACTTACAGACATTATTCTTCTAGTTAAATTAAAATGGAAGCCATTCAACATCGCCATCATCGTAGTTTACGCTCTAAAGTCACATAGCATAGAAGAAAATCAATAAGTTTTATATCGCACTAGATAACATCAAGAACCAATAAAAATCTCAGGAAATTATCATAACCACGGGAGACCTAAATACTAACGTAGGAACAGAACAAGGCAGTGAAATAGTCGGCAAATACTGACTTGGATCACGCAACGAATGCGGAAAAATATGTCTCCAATAATACAAAGAAAATGACCAAATAATAACCGACACCTGGTTTCAAGTACATTCAAGAGGCTTGTGGACATGGAAAAAGTTTAGAAGACACGGACAACCAGACAGACTACTTAAGTATCAATAAAGATTCATAAATGCAGTTCAACACTCTAAAATGCCGATTGTGGGAGCGACTACCTTCCATATGCAAACTCGGGTTAAAATTACGCAACGCTTAAACTACAATATAAACAGACTCCAGGACGATACAATTTGTAAGAAAGATGTATACTGATACAGTGAAAAGCAAATATAAGCGCTTAAACGAGGTCGGGAATTCAAAGTAGAACATTTTAAAGGAAGTTCCAATGACATCGGCCGAATAAGATCATCCCAAGGAAAAAGAGAAAAGAAAAAGAAGTGGATGATATAAAATTATCGAGAGAGGGAGAGAGAGAGAGAGAGAGAGAGAGAGAGAAACAATGCCAAGGAATCACATAGAATCATACTTATTACAAAACCCAGGTTGTGTGTGTGTGTCTGTACGTTTATATACTGGATCGGATTTCCTACATTTTCAACCGATTTCAACAAAACTTCACAGGACTACGTAAAATTACCTTGCGGTGGTTCTGACAGCGCCAAAAATTGGAAAAACACAATTGTTTTTGCACAAAATCAATTTGAAAACACGATTAAGAGGCATCGCCAGAATTAAAGGGGGACAACTCATATCGAGTTATACTTATTATAAAACCCAGGTTGTTTGTGTGTGTTCGTTTATATATGGGATCGGATTTCCTACATTTTTCAACCGATTTCAACAAAACTTCACTTTTTTTTGGCAGGTAGTGTTTCTTATTGTCTTGCACACTTTTTTCTTTATTTTTACATTCAGAATGCTTTAAAAATTCCATTTACAAGACAATTGTTTATAATAAAATTCTATTCAATCGGTAGAGTAGACTCATAACAATTGAAAACAATGTTTTTGTTTGAGTTTGGGTTTGACCAATTCGTAAAAAAAAGAAAAACTAATTAAGACATGCGTGTCCGTCAAACAATAATCTTTGTCAATTTTATTTTTCAGTCTTTATGATGGTCGATACTTGATCAATCTCTTACTGTTACATCCCCGGGCAACGCCGGGCTCTACTACTAGTATTGTATATTAAACAAAAAATATTTTATACAAATACAAGTAGGTAAAAGATGAATGTGCGCAGAGATAGAAACATTGTAGAACAAAGATACAGAAAAGACGCATAAGATAACAAAAGATATAACAGACGTGCTCCTCAACGGGATGCACACAATCTAAAAAAGGATGTTTTTGTTTGAGTTTGGGTTTGACCAATTCGTAAAAAAAAGAAAAACTAATTAAGACATGCGTGTCCGTCAAACAATAATCTTTGTCAATTTTATTTTTCAGTCTTTATGATGGTCGATACTTGATCAATCTCTTACTGTTACATCCCCGGGCAACGCCGGGCTCTACTACTAGTATTGTATATTAAACAAAAAATATTTTATACAAATACAAGTAGGTAAAAGATGAATGTGCGCAGAGATAGAAACATTGTAGAACAAAGATACAGAAAAGACGCATAAGATAACAAAAGATATAACAGACGTGCTCCTCAACGGGATGCACACAATCTAAAAAAGGACACATTCATAACAGAAAAAGACAAGACACTTCAAAAATGGAATGAATGCGTTGGAAAACTCTGCAATAAATAAACACATGGAAATACTTATAGGGATACACAAGGTGATTACCTCCCTTTGGTGGAGGTGAAGTCACGTGGATCATGTGACGGCCGCTTAGTGATGTCATCATACAGTGACGAAAGTGGTCAATTCTATAATCAGTCGGTTTTACAGGAGTGAAACCGAGCGGTTGTTGTTTTTTTTTTTTTTTTTTTTTTAGATTAGGCTAAATCTACCCCCTCCAACACATGGTACAGCTTAGAAGCACACGGCGCCATTTTCCTTTGGGAATATATCTTCCCCAGATATATATAAAGAAACTATCTCTGACTCGTAGTCCCCAATTTAGGAAAACCCAATACTCGCCGTTTCTTGTTCGCAGAACATGTCCTCGCCTCAGAAATAGTAGATGAATCCGGTTCGCTTGAATCTGGAGTGTTAAACATGGCTTCTCCAGAAACACAGAAAAACCTCTATATTATATGTAAGACCCTTTTCGTTCTACTTTCACTCTGCTGGCTGTATAGATATATGTTATATTCTCTCTACATGGGACACGTACATATATATATATATATATATATATATATATATATATATATATATATATATAAAATTTTGTGTATGTCTTAGTGGTATAAAACTCTCTCTGAGAAGAAAGCATGTTTGTCATTCGTTTTCCTTTTAGCCACTCTGTTCCGTCCTTGAAATAAGATGTTATTATATAAGGGATATAATAATTCTCATAATGTAAGAAATACAAACGGGAGAAAAAAAAACTTTCTTCTATAGCTCCCCCATCAGATAAATACTACGAAAAATCTGAGGTGAGTTTGGCACTGGCCATAATGAACAGAAACGAACCAGCAAGATGCCTAAGAAGCTAAGTGTAAGTGAATGCGAGCTCCATCGGACAATTAGCTGAATGAACCATATAATTAAGCTTATCAT